ATTATTATATAATAGAATTTGGTATATAGTTAGGCCTAGATTGGGTTAGGTTAGGTATATAGGTTCTGTTGGCCAATATATTTGTGTTTGCGTACCTTGGAGAGACATTTACAAGAGGTGCATTTTGAACAGAAGACGTTAGCGAAACACTGTTCAAGGAAAGTCCGAACATTATCAGTTGTAAGTCGTGTGTAACAACCTGCCCTTATCCACATTAGGCCAAATGCTCGTTAATCAAGGTGCCAAATCCCTTGCCCAGGACATCCTGTCAAAAGGATAGGCTCGTTAAAGCGGCGGCCGTCCCCCCACGACGCACTCATCAGTTTTTACGTATTGTGTAATAAAAATAAGTTTGTTGTGATATATTAAAGTTTTGTGTTTAGTTAGACGTAGGTTAGGCTGGGTGTTTAGGTTCAGTTGGCGATGTGTTCAAGTTGAAGTACAGGTGAAGCATCTACAGCGTTGTGGTCGGGAGAGGTGGTCAGCCAAGCGCTGTTTCCCAAGTGTTTGCGGACGTCATCAGTTGTGATGACGGTGACCGGTACGTGGCTTATTATATAGTGTTGTATAGCTACGATGACTTAGTGCTGCATGTCACCCCATCACCCAACATGCCCCCCACAGTCCCCCCGAGACCCCCTCCCCCCCATCACTGCTCCGCCCTATATACGCACAATGACTCCCAAGCTGTTATCTGAGGTATTTATTATTTAAATAAATTCACAAGTCAGTCACAAGGCCGGACTTGGGGAGTAGAACTACTCCCAGAACCCATCAAGCAGGTGTCAAGCTTGTGTCAAGCAGGTATCAAGCTTGTGTCAAGCAGGTATCAAGCTTGTGTCAAGCAGGTATCAAGCTTGTGTCAAGCAGGTATCAAGCAGGTATCAAGCTTGTGTCAAGCAGGTGTCAAGCAGGTATCAAGCAGGTGTCAAGCAGGTATCAATAAGGTATCAATAGAGTCACGAGGCATTTGAACAAGTCGGTGTTCGAACCCTTGTTTGTATAACATAGTTTGTTTTAGTATATGATCTGATCAATAAGATAGGCGAGGTCTGGGGGAGGTTGTGTAGGTGGGTGCTGGGTGTGGGGTGTAGGTGGGTGCTGGGTGTGGGGTGTAGGTGGGTGCTGGGTGTGGGGTGTAGGTGGGTGCTGGGTGTGGGGTGTAGGTGGGTGCTGGGTGTAGGTGAGTGCTGGGTGTGGGGTGTAGGTGGGTGCTGGGTGTGGGGTGTAGGTGGGTGCTGGGTGTGGGGTGTAGGTGGGTGCTGGGTGTGGGGTGTAGGTGAGTGCTGGTGTGGGGTGTAGGTGAGTGCTGGGTGTAGGGTGTAGGTGAGTGCTGGGTGTGGGGTGTAGGTGGGTGCTGGGTGTGGGGTGTAGGTGGGTGCTGGGTGTAGGGTGTAGGTGAGTGCTGGGTGTGGGGTGTAGGTTGGGTGCTGGGTGTGGGGTGTAGGTGGGTGCTGGGTGTGGGGTGTAGGTGGGTGCTGGTGTGGGTGTAGGTGAGTGCTGGGTGTGGGGTGTAGGTGAGTGCTGGGTGTAGGGTGTAGGTGAGTGCTGGGTGTGGGGTGTAGGTGGGTGCTGGGTGTGGGGTGTAGGTGGGTGCTGGGTGTGGGGTGTAGGTGGGTGCTGGGGGTGGGGTGGTGTAGGTGGGTGCTGGGTGTAGGTGGGTGCTGGTGTGGGGTGTAGGTGAGTGCTGGGTGTGGGGTGTAGGTGGGTGCTGGGTGTGGGGTGTAGGTGGGTGCTGGGTGTGGGGTGTAGGTGGGTGCTGGGTGTAGGTGGGTGCTGGGTGTGGGGTGTAGGTGAGTGCTGGGTGTGGGGTGTAGGTGGGTGCTGGGTGTAGGTGGGTGCTGGGTGTAGGGGGGTGCTGGGTGTGGGGTGTAGGTGAGTGCTGGGTGTGGGGTGTAGGTGAGTGCTGGGTGTGGGGTGTAGGTGAGTGCTGGGTGTGGGGTGTAGGTGGGTGCTGGGTGTGGGGTGTAGGTGAGTGCTGGGTGTGGGGTGTAGGTGGGTGCTGGTGTGGGGTGTAGGTGCTGGGTGTGGGGTGTAGGTGAGTGCTGGGTGTGGGGTGTAGGTGAGTGCTGGGTGTGGGGTGTAGGTGAGTGCTGGGTGTGGGGTGTAGGTGGGTGCTGGGTGTGGGGTGTAGGTGAGTGCTGGGTGTGGGGTGTAGGTGGGTGCTGGGTGTAGGTGGGGTGCTGGGTGTGGGGTGTAGGTGAGTGCTGGGTGTGGGGTGTAGGTGAGTGCTGGGTGTGGGGTGTAGGTGAGTGCTGGGTGTGGGGTGTAGGTGAGTGCTGGGTGTGGGGGTAGGTGTGGTGCTGGGTGTGGGGTGTAGGTGAGTGCTGGGTGTGGGGTGTAGGTGAGTGCTGGGTGTGGGGTGTAGGTGGGTGCTGGGTGTGGGGTGTAGGTGAGTGCTGGGTGTGTAGGTGTAGGTGGGTGCTGGGTGTAGGTGTGGTGCTGGGTGTAGGTGGGTGCTGGGTGTGGGGTGTAGGTGAGTGCTGGGTGTAGGTGAGTGCTGGGTGTGGGGTGTAGGTGGCTGCTGGGTGTGGGGTGTAGGTGAGTGCTGGTGTGGGGTGTAGGTGGGCGCTGGGTGTGGGGTGTAGGTGAGTGCTGGGTGTGGGGTGTAGGTGGCTGCTGGGTGTGGGGTGTAGGTGAGTGCTGGGTGTGGGGTGTAGGTGGGCGCTGGGTGTGGGGTGTAGGTGAGTGCTGGGTGTGGGGTGTAGGTGGTGGCTGCTGGGTGTGGGGTGTAGGTGAGTGCTGGGTGTGGGGTGTAGGTGAGTGCTGGGTGTGGGGTGTAGGTGAGTGCTGGGTGCTGGGTGTGGGGTGTAGGTGAGTGCTGGGTGTGGGGTGTAGGTGAGTGCTGGGTGTGGGGTGTAGGTGGCTGCTGGGTGTGGGGTGTAGGTGAGTGCTGGGTGTGGGGTGTAGGTGGGCGCTGGGTGTGGGGTGTAGGTGAGTGGTGGGGTGCTGGGTGTGGGGTGTAGGTGGGTGCTGGGTGTGGGGTGGAGGTTGGTGCTGGGTGTGGGGTGTAGGTGAGTGCTGGGTGTGGGGTGTAGGTGGCTGCTGGGTGTGGGGTGTAGGTGAGTGCTGGGTGTGGGGTGTAGGTGGTGGCTGGGTGTGGGGTGTAGGTGAGTGCTGGGTGCTGGGTGTAGGTGGGTGCTGGGTGTAGGTGGGTGCTGGGTGTGGGGTTGTAGGTGCTGGTGCTGGGTGCTGGGTGTAGGTGGGTGCTGGGTGTAGGTGGGTGCTGGGTGTGGGGTGTAGGTGAGTGCTGGGGTGTGGGGTGTAGGTGGGTGCTGGTGTGTGGGGTAGTAGGTGAGTGCTGGGTGTGGGGTGTAGGTGGGTGCTGGGTGTGGGGTTTAGGTGGGTGCTGGGTGTGGGGGTTGTAGGAGGGTGCTGGGTGTAGGTGAGTGCTGGGTGTTGTGGGGTGTAGGTGGGTGCTGGGTGTGGGGTGTAGGTGAGTGCTGGGTGCTGGGTGTAGGTGAGTGCTGAGTGTGGGGTGTAGGTGGGTGCTGGGTGTGGGGGTGTAGGTGGGTGCTGGGTGTAGGTGAGTGCTGGGTGTGGGGTGTAGGTGGGTGCTGGGTGTAGGTGAGTGCTGGGTGTGGGGGGTGTAGGTGGGTGCTGGGTGGGGGGTGTAGGTGGGCGCTGGGTGTGGGGTGTAGGTGAGTGCTGGGTGTGGGGTGTAGGTGGGTGCTGGGTGTGGGGGTGTAGGTGAGGCTGGGTGCTGGGTGTAGGTGGGTGCTGGGTGGGGGGTGAGGTGGGTGCTGGGTGTGGGGTGTAGGTGGGTGCTGGGTGTAGGTGAGTGCTGGGTGTGGGGTGTAGGTGGGTGCTGGGTGTGGGGTGTAGGTGGGGGTGCTGGGTGTAGGTGGGTGCTGGGTGTAGTGGTGGTGCTGGGTGTGGGGTGTAGGTGAGTGCTGGTGTGGGGTGTAGGTGGGTGCTGGGTGTGGGGTGTAGGTGAGTGCTGGGTGTAGGTGGGTGCTGGGTGTGGGGTGTAGGTGAGTGCTGGGTGTGGGGTGTAGGTGGGTGCTGGGTGTGGGGTGTAGGTGGGTGTGGGGTGTAGGTGGGTGCTGGGTGTGGGGTGTAGGTGAGTGCTGGGTGTGGGGTGTAGGTGGGTGCTGGGTGTGGGGTGTAGGTGGGTGCTGGGTGTGGGGTGTAGGTGGGTGCTGGGTGTGGGGTGTAGGTGAGTGCTGGGTGTGGGGTGTAGGTGGGTGCTGGGTGTGGGGGTGTAGGTGAGAGGCTGGGTGGGTGTGGGGTGTAGGTGGGTGTGGGGTGTAGGTGAGTGGTGTGGGTGTGGGGTGTAGGGAGGGTGTGGGGTGTAGGTGGGAGGCAGTGGGGTGTGGGGTGTAGGGGAAGTAGGTGGGTGCTGGGTGTGGGGGTGTAGGTGAGTGCTGGGTGTGGGGTGTAGGTGGGTGCTGGGTGTGGGGTGTAGGTGGAGTGCTGGGTGTGGGGTGTAGGTGGAAGGTGCTGGGTGTGGGGTGTAGGTGGGTGCTGGGTGTGGGGTGTAGGTGGGTGTGGGGTGTAGGTGAGTGCTGGGTGTGGGGTGTAGGTGGGTGTGGGGTGTAGGTGAGTGCTGGGTGTGGGGTGTAGGTGGGTGCTGGGTGTGGGGTGTAGGTGAGTGCTGGGTGTGGGGTGTAGGTGAGTGCTGGGTGTGGGGTGGAGGTGGGTGCTGGGTGTGGGGTGTAGGTGGGTGCTGGGTGTGGGGGTGTAGGTGGGTGCTGGGGTGGGGGTAGGTGGGTGCTGGGTGTGGGGTGGGTGCTGGGCGTCGGGTGGGTGTGGACGGGTGGGTGTGGACGGGAGGGTGCTGGGCGTGGGGTGGGGTGCTGGGCGTCGGTGGTGTGGACGGTGGGTGTGGACGGGGGGTGCTAGGCGTGGGGTGGGTGCTGGGCGTCGGGTGGTGTGGACGGGTGGGTGTGGACGGGAGGGTGCTGGGCGTGGGGTGGGTGCTGGGCGTCGGGTGGGTGTGGACGGGTGGGTGTGGACGGGAGGGTGCTAGGCGTGGGGTGGGTGCTGGGCGTCGGGTGGTGTGGCGGGAGGGTGCTAGGCGTGGGGTGGGTGGGGACGTCATATCACAGTGGTGGCCACGTGTGAGCGGCTGCTGCTGCTGCCTCTTAGTCAAGGCGTGGCAGCGGTCCCGGGCCTCCAGCGCTGCCCGCGTGTGTCGTGCCTGTGTGTGTCCACCCTACCCCAGCACGCCCACACTTCCGGAGCCCTCCACCCGCACGCCCACGCTCCCGGAGCCCTCCACCCGCACGCCCACGCTCCCGGAGCCCTCCACCCGCACGCCCACGCTCCTGGAGCCCTCCACCCGCACAAGGTATACCCCACCACCTAGTCTACTCCAGCTGTGAACCTAATTTTACGAGTATGTCGTGTTGGAGCCTGTCTCATGGTCAGGTAGTCTGTCTACCCCAGCGGTACACCTGTCTACCCCGGCGGTACACCTGTCTACCCCGGCGGTACACCTGTCTACCCCGGCGGTACACCTGTCTACCCCGGCGGTACACCTGTCTACCCCGGCGGTACACCTGTCTACCCCGGCGGTACACCTGTCTACCCCGGCGGTACACCTGTCTACCCCGGCGGTACACCTGTCTACCCCGGCGGTACACCTGTCTACCCGGCGGTACACCTGTCTACCCCGGCGGTACACCTGTCTACCCCGGCGGTACACCTGTCTACCCCGGCGGTACACCTGTCTACCCCGGCGGTACACCTGTCTACCCCGGCGGTACACCTGTCTACCCCGGCGGTACACCTGTCTACCCCGGCGGTCTACCATGGCTGGCACACTGTGTTGTGTTGACCCCGGCGGTACATGACCTGTCTACCCGGCGGTACATGACACATGGACTGGCACACTGTGTTGTGGTGACCATGGCTGGCACCATGATTGTGTGTTGTGTTGACCATGGCTGGCACTGTGTTGTGTTGACCATGGCTGGCACACTGTGTTGTGTTGACCATGGCTGGCACACTGTGTTGTGTTGACCATGGCTGTTTACACTGTGTTGTTGTTGACCATGGCTGGCACTGTGTGTTGTGTTGACCATGGCTGGCACTGTGTTGTGTTGACCATGGCTGGCACTGTGTTGTGTTGACCATGGCTGTTTACACTGTGTTGTGTTGACCATGGCTGTTTACACTGTGTTGTGTTGACCATGGCTGGCACACTGTGTTGTGTTGACACTGTGTTGTGTTGAGGTCACTGTGTTGTGTTGTGGACTGTTTACACTGTGTTGTGTTGAGGTCACGTGACTGTTTACACTGTGTTGTGTTGACCATGGCTGGCACTGTGTTGTGTTGACCACACTGTGTTGTGTTGACCATGTGACTGTTTACACTGTGTTGTGTTGACCATGGCTGTTTACACTGTGTTGTGTTGACCATGGCTGTTTACACTGTGTTGTGTTGACCATGGCTGGCACTGTGTTGTGTTGACCATGGCACTGTTTACACTGTGTTGTGTTGACCATGGCTGGCACTGTGTTGTGTTGACCATGTGACTGGCACACTGTGTTGTGTTGACCATGGCTGGCACTGTGTTGTGTTGACCATGGACTGTTTACACTGTGTTGTGTTGACCATGGCTGGCACTGTGTTGTGTTGACCATGGTTGGCACTGTGTTGTGTTGACCATGGTGGCACTGTGTTGTGTTGACCATGGCTGGCACTGTGTTGTGTTGACCATGGCTGGCACTGTGTTGTGTTGACCATGATTGGCACTGTGTGTTGTGTTGACCACTGGTGTGTTGTGTTGACCATGGCTGGCACTGTGTTGTGTTGACCATGGCTGGCACTGTGTTGTGTTGACCACTGTGTTGTGTTGACCATGGTCACTGTGTTGTGTTGACCATGGCTGGCACTGTGTTGTGTTGACCACTGTGACTGGCACTGTGTTGTGTTGACCACTGTGTTGTTTGGCACTGTGTGTTGTGTTGACCATGGCTGGCACTGTGTTGTGTTGACCATGGACTGTGGCACTGTGTTGTGTGACCATGGTTGGCACTGTGTTGTGTTGACCATGGCTGGCACTGTGTTGTGGTGACCATGGCTGGCACTGTGTTTACACTGTGTTGTGTTGACCATGGACCACACTGTTGCATGGCTGGCACTGTGTTGTGTTGACCATGGCTGGCACTGTGTTGTGTTGACCATGGCTGGCACTGTGTTGTGTTGACCATGGTTGGCACTGTGTGTTGTGGCTGGCACTGTGTTGTGTTGACCATGGCTGGCACTGTGTTGTGTTGACCATGGTTGGCACTGTGTTGTGTTGACCATGGTTGGCACTGTGTTGTGTTGACCATGGTTGGCACTGTGTTGTAGTGACCATGGCTGGCACTGTGTTGTGTTGACCATGGCTGGCACTGTGTTGTGTTGACCATGGTTGGCACTGTGTTGTGTTGACCATGGCTGGCACTGTGTTGTTGTGACCATGGTTGGCACTGTGTTGTGTTGACCATGGCTGGCACTGTGTTGTGTTGACCATGGCTGGCACTGTGTTGTGTTGACCATGGCTGGCACTGTGTGTTGTTGACCATGGCTGGCACTGTGTTGTGGTGACCATGGCTGACACTGTGTTGTGTTGACCATGACTGTCACTGTGTTGATGACCATGGCTGGCACTGTTGTGTTGACCATGGCTGGCACTGTGTTGTGTTGATGACTGGCACACTGTGTTGTGTTGACCATGGCTGGCACTGTGTTATGTTGACCATGTGCTGGCACTGCATTGTGTTGTTGACCATGGTTGCACTGTTGTGTTGACCATGGTTGGCACTGTGTTGTGTTGACCATGTCTGGCACTGCCTGTGTTGTGTTGACCATGGTTGGCACTGTGTTGTGTTGACCATGGCTGGCACTGTGTTGTGTTGACCATGGCTGGCACTGTGTTGTGGTGACCATGGCTGGCACACTGTGTTGTGGTGACCATGGCTGGCACTGTGTTGTGTTGACCATGGCTGGCACTGTGTTGTGTTGACCATGGCTGGCACTGTGTTGTGGTGACCATGGCTGGCACTGTGTTGTGGTGACCATGGCTGGCACTGTGTTGTGTTGACCATGGCTGGCACTGTGTTGTGGTGACCATGGCTGGCACTGTGTTGTGGTTGGCTGGCACTGACTGTTGCACTGTGTTGTGTTGACCATGGCTGGCACTGTGTTGTGTTGACCATGGCTGGCACTGTTTACACTGTGTGTAGTGACCATGGCTGGCACTGTGTTGTGGTGACCATGGCTGGCACTGACTGTTGTGGTTGACCATGGCTGGCACTGTGTTGTGGTGACCATGGCTGGCACTGTGTTGTGTTGACCATGGCTGGCACTGTGTTGTGGTGACCATGGCAGGCACTGTGTGTTGTTGACTATGGCAGGCACTGTGTGTTGTTGACCATGGTTGGCACTGTGTTGTGGTGACCATGGCTGGCACTGTTGTGTTGACCATGGCTGGCACTGTGTTGTGTTGACCATGGCTGGCACTGTGTTGTGTTGACCATGGCTGGCACTGTGTTGTGGTGACCATGGCTGGCACTGTGTTGTGGTGACCATGGCTGGCACTGTGTTGTGTTGACCATGGCTGGCACTGTGTTGTGTTGACCATGACTGGCACTGTGTTGTGTTGACCATGACTGGCACTGTGTTGTGTTGACCATGGCTGGCACTGTGTTGTGTTGACCATGGCTGGCACTGTTGTTGACCATGGCTGGCACTGTTGACCATGGCTGGCACTGTTGTTGACCATGGCTGGCACTTGTTGACCATGGCTGGCACTGTGTGTGTTGACCATGGTTGGCACTGTGTTGTGTTGACCATGGCTGGCACTGTGTTGTGTTGACCATGGCTGGCACTGTGTTGTGTGACCATGGCTGGCACCATGGCTGGCACTGTGTTACACTGTGTTGACCATGGCTGGCACTGTGTTGTGTTGACCATGGCTGGCACTGTGTTGTGTTGACCATGGCTGGCACACTGTTGTGTTGACCATGGCTGGCACACTTGTGTTGTGTTGACCATGGCTGGCACACTGTGTTGTGTTGACCATGGCTGGCACTGTGTTGTGTTGACCATGGCTGGCACTGTGTTGTGTTGACCATGGCTGGCACTGTGTTGTGTTGACCATGGCTGGCACTGTGTTGTGTTGACCATGGCTGGCACTGTGTTGTGTTGACCATGGCTGGCACTGTGTTGTGTTGACCATGGCTGGCACTGTGTTGTGTTGACCATGACTGGCACTGTGTTGTGTTGACCATGGCTGGCACTGTGTTGTGTTGACCATGGCTGGCACTGTGTTGTGTTGACCATGGCTGGCACTGTGTTGTGTTGACCATGGCTGGCACTGTGTTGTGTTGACCATGGTTGGCACTGTGTTGTGTTGACCATGGCTGGCACTGTGTTGTGTTGACCATGGCTGGCACTGTTGTGTTGACCATGACTGGCACTGTGTTGTTGACCATGGCTGGCACTGTTGTGTTGACCATGGCTGGCACTGTTGTTGACCATGGCTGGCACTGTGTTGTTGATCATTGCTGGCACTGTGTTGTGTTGGCCATGGCTGGCACTGTGTTGTGTTGACCATGGCTGGCACTGTGTTGTGTTGACCATGACTGGCACTGTGTTGTTGACCATGGCTGGCACTGTGTTGTGTTGACCATGGCTGGCACTGTGTTGTAGTGACCATGGTTGGCACTGTGTTGTAGTGACCATGGTTGGCACTGTTGTGTTGACCATGGCTGGCACTGTTGTTGACCATGGCATGCACTGTTGTTGACCATGGCTGGCACTGTTGTGTTGACCATGGCTGGCACTGTGTTGTTGACCATGGCTGGCACTGTGTTGTTGACCATGGCTGGCACTGTGTTGTGTTGACCATGGCTGGCACTGTGTTGTGTTGACCATGGCTGGCACTGTGTTGTGTTGACCATGATTGGCACTGTGTTGTGTTGACCATGGCTGGCACTGTGTTGTGTTGACCATGGCTGGCACTGTGTTGTTGACCATGGCTGGCACTGTGCTGTGTTGACCATGGCTGGCACTGTGTTGTGTTGACCATGGCTGGCACTGTTGTTGACCATGATTGGCACTGTGTGTTGTGTTGACCATGGCTGGCACTGTGTTGTGTTGACCATGGCTGGCACTGTGTTGTGTTGACCATGGCTGGCACTGTGTTGTGTTGACCATGGCTGGCACTGTGTGTTGTGTTGACCATGGCTGGCACTGTGTTGTGTTGACCATGGCTGGCACTGTGTTGTGTTGACCATGGCTGGCACTGTGTTGTGTTGACCATGGCTGGCACTGTGTTGTGTTGACCATGGCTGGCAC